GTTGCAATTACCCTCGAGGATATTACCCCAGCGCTCACTTAGCGAGGCGCGCGCAGCCCTGTTTATTTGAGGGAACGGAGCAGCGAAGTCTTGAGTAAGCAAACGCTGCCGCACCATCATCGATCAGAAAAAATACCTAAGCTCTGCCAAACAACGACACATGGCTAGAATTGTGCCACTATTTTATGCCTGGCATGATATATGACCGAAAGTTATTATTTTATTCATGTCATGCAGAAAGTTCTGTTCATTCGATTACTCAATTTTTTTGTTTCTTACATCTGTAGCGTATAGAACCATCGACGAGTGGATTAAGGCCACTTGTCGTTCTTCGTAAAAAACTTACGGCGACACAACTTTTAAAGATGAACTATTATTGTCAAAGGTATTTCAGCTAGCGTTATCAGCAGGAACGATTGTGTTCTAATGCATTTTTTCAGGTACTCCAAATTAGCACGGTTGCTAGATGAATCACGCTGATACGGCGTGCTCCCGCATTTGGCTCAACGTTGTCGTTGAATTAATTTGGTTTCAGTTAGAAGCGTGTTATCCGTTTTGGGTTAAGTAATTCAACGACATTTGAATGATTTATTCATAGTGCCATCTGCTGTGCAATTGAACTTTTTATGTATACACTAGAGTACGAGTAGAAACTTCAAATCATATTAGTCTGTGGACGTCTAAGGCATATGCAGCCTTGAAGCTTAAAAACTATGCACCAGGATGAATCTGCACCAGGAAAAAGAATATTGTTTTGTCAAATCATAAACCTCCAAATACCTATAATTAAAAGAAAACGTCACTTCGGAGCCGATAAAATCTTTGGTGCGACCAGCAGAGACTCTCATAAAATTGGAACGACTTCTTTATCAACGCTTGATATCTTCATGCAGCCGACCTCGATCATGATTTCTTTTTCTTTGTTTTCGCAACGCTCGCAAATTATTGGCTTGTATATCAGCACTATATCCTCAACGTTCAATGCCTATCATTTCATAAAGAGAATGAGATTATAGAGATTAATCTTGTGAGCGAAGTAATCAATTATTCAAAGTGCCGTCGACGGGTTGTGGTTTATATAGATTGGTCTTTTTTTCTCTCCTCTTCCATTCCGAGTTGCAAATTGATGACCTCTGAATACTGGAGCTGAATAATCGTCTTGGCAAGGATCAATTCAGTGTTACTTCATTTTGTTCGATTAAATACTTTCAATTCATAGCTAAATAATCGTTCGAAATAATTGGATACAATGAAATGTAAAAAATATAACTCAGTACTCACTGCAGTGAGTGACAGAGAGCGCATTTTCTCGTCGACGAAAACGTGAAGTCACGGACGGACAGACGGACGGACATGGCGAGCACAATAGTGCATTTTTTTCATAAATGAGAAAATGTGCTAAAAATACTCGTTAAGGTAGATCGGGGCAAAAATTTTGAATCTAGACATCAGCCCCGGGCTTGTTACCTTGACGGACGGGGGCTGGGTCCTGAAAGCTTAACCGTAATAACGAACCCTAAATTGCGGATACTGAAGTAGTATGTACTCGGCATTGAATATAGTTAGGCATTATGATCTTCCTGGATTTTGCTCTAATAAATCATCTATACTGGGTCCTCTTTAAATTGAAGATGATTGTACGTGTGCTAAATCGTTTAATTATTGATTGTTGCTTGTATTTCTTTCGAAATTTTTCTCTCTTCTAGCCCTAACAAGCTCGTGAATAATTAATTACTTTAAGAAAATGGTTCATAAACATGACGCAAAAATGAGGAAGTTGAGCGAAATTGAGGGAGAAAATTATTATCACCGAAAAGAGTTTTAGAATAGACGAATATTTAACTTGTATCTTTTGCTTTATTTTGGAAGCATTTTTTTCCATTAGATTTCATTGTGTGAAACAAAACAAAAAGTTTTTAGCGCAATGTCTGTAACGTCGAAAAATATTAAACACAAGGAAACAAATATAGTGTTTGTAATTGTATACTATTCATTCGTTATTTCAACTTGAAGTTGGTGCGTTCTTTAAGAACCATTTTGCACGTGACTCTGAGCAAGGCGACATGACGCACATAAAACTCATTTTTTTTTCAGCCGCCGAGCTGCTGTATTTTGTGCCTATTTTTCTTGACAAACGATACAGTGTTTGTCAAGACCTCCTCATTACCTTCAGTGGAGCGAGGCGACACACCTTCGTAGTCTGATAAATCGCTGCGAGATTGACACTCCCTACATCCTCGAGATCACTTATCCTCGATACTATGCAATTTTAGAGCTACTGGCGCAGTTTATTTCTCTGTGGATTTTGATCATAGTTTGGTTGGCATCTAACGGTAATCATAATTATTGTCAGTTTGCTTGCACTGTAGAGTAAAATCTTGTGGATTGGTTAAACAAATTTGCGGCTTCCGCAAGAACAGCTGAAATCAAGTTTATATATGCTTCCTCCTTCATTGTACAAATAATTAGATAGATTGATAGAATTGCCACTTTATTTTTTACAGTTTATTTGGCCTGTGCAGTTATGATCTTCTAGAGACATAATATAATATATGGTTGATTTTAGGGTGATAGATACTCGTACATCTTTTTATGTGTGTCAAATTTGTACATGCAATTACTCACAATTGTGTAAAAACATTTGGACTCCTACATTTGTGAGCCAAGGATCTATATGAATACATGGTTAATTTTACAACTGCTGGTTAGATTGTAAAAATGAAATTATCTAGTGTCGTCTTGAGGAAAATAATAACCAAATTTAGAGCCTGAACAATATAAGGAGGTGCGTTCAACTTTTGTGATAGTCTGCACTTCTATGCAGTCATTATCTTCTCCGGCTCAAAGTTACGGGAATGCCTCACTAAATTGCGCTTCACCCACCGCGGCTTTCACTTCATCGCGGATTTCCAGAAATATTGATGAGAAAATCATCCGCGGATCTTCGCCGGGACGCGGGTTTCTGAGGTAGTCAATCGGCAGATTTGAAGAGCCCGCTGAACTCGATCGGCAGTAAGAGTTTGGGAAGGGTTTGTGAACAATTAAAATGACGAAAACTTACCAAACTAAATAAATACCTAAATAAGTAGTATCAGTTCATCAATTCCCTATCGTGTATTTCACATATCACGGCCAAGGTATCGAAAGTAACACCCGCGTAAAGTGAGAGATTACTGTACAGTGAACACCTGCTCCATGACCTGCACAACTTGAGTGTCTCAAACGCAAAATACGCTACACTGATTTTTTGAGGTCATCACAAACTTTAGAATTGCAAAAACGTTTTTACCGACTGACTCGAATTCATTATAATTATTCAGATTTATTTTATAAACTTTATTTTCCACGTTACTATAGCAGCATTGAAAACTAAAACAATCCATGCTGTGAGTGACGAAGTGCCCGCAAATCAACAATGTTATGCAGTCAGTTTCCAAGATTTATATTCCTCCAATTTATGGCCTTGGAACTGTAAGAACAGCTAAAAATGTGTCTTAGTATCGCACGAACATCCAATCAATCAACAGAAGGAAAATTTTGAGATATAAGCTATTTTGGTTGAATAATGAATTTATGTGAACGTTTTATTTTTAAAAATTTCGATTCGTTATTTTCCTTTAACCAGGTATTTAAGAATTGAAAACAAATTCAGAAAGTTCATAAGTTTTATCTATCATTGCGCAACAATGAATCAGTAAAATTTTATCCAAGAAAGAATCATTCACAAATTCATGCATCCTCCCAATGAATGCAGGATTTACATGCATTAATATTGATAAACACGAGTTATGTAGTTGTTGAGCGCGACTTTCTATTTACGATCTGGAGACATCAGTAATCTTGAGGCTGCCTAATGAACGACGCTGTGAACATTATGCATGCATTTATTAATGGATCACAGGTTGCATTTTTTGGCCAACGATAAATTATGAATGCACAATGTATGCTAATATGGGTGCATGAGGGAAAACTGTGGCTGTTTTGAGGGCAATTAAGGCTATCGCATTCATGCTATCATATGACGCTATTCATCAGAGGGCCTCGGTTCTGTTGCATGAAGATGCACTGCAAAAATTATGCCTCGTAATGCGCTTCATCTTGAACAAATATTTTATATATTTCTGAATGCACGTCATCTAACCGGCGTGTTCAAAAGTTTTTGCGCGTTTTTCTTCTCAAGTGTTAAGAAATTAATTTTACCTGTTAACAAACTTGATGTACCGCCACTGACCGAACTCTGGTTTCAGATTTTTCATGCACGTTACCTTGCTATCAATGCTGTGTCTTGACTGGAACCGGAGTGAAAACGTATTATTTACATACTTATGTATCGCGAATTATCTTTTTGTTGAACAACTTTCTTTGTGTAATAATATCGCAATATATCAAACTACGTTACGGTACATGCATTTACCACTTCATTTTTGGAGTAATTTTGTTGTATTGGACTTAATTTACAATTAATATTAGTTTAACCAACAATATTTCTGCATTAGTTCGCGTCCTTAAATTTGTATTTTGGAATATTTTTTTCTGTTGATCTCATTGATCTGCAATTTGTTATTCGCTGAAGCTGAGCTCAAGATGCCAAGTCTGACATCTGATGTAAGAGCAGCTCTTGAGACCAGCGTACGGTCTTCAGACCATCGGTGTGTCATGCCAGCTCAAGCGTCAGACGGGATGAGCAGAGTGGTTCAAAAAGTACAATCTTCTATCTTAATAACAACCTTCAGCGCTCAAAAAACCGCCGCATTTTTACTCGAGGTAATACCAACGGTTAAGTCTTTGCTCTAAGCGATGTTGCTCCCACGCGACGGCGTCTGATGCACGCAACTCGTTAATAGATTTTATCAACAACTTCGCCTTACTTTCAACTCTGAGCATGTGCACCTAGTTCTACATCAGAGGTTTATTGTCCGAAAATATTAATTGAGCGACTGATGCTCTTAATTTTGTTCTATTTTCGGTAGAGGGGCGGAAGCAGCGAAATTTTCTCGCGAAAATGATCAGCAAATTATTTTTACTTCGCCGCAAGTCATTTCCGAAAAAAAACCATGTTCTCACTTTCGTACCTTGTCGTCAATTTGCAAATGATGTTTAATGGGCGCAGGAGTTTGTGAGAAAGACACTTGTAGTCACGCCTTACCCAAGATAATTCATATTAATGGCCTGCCTAAGGGGTCTTGCTCGCTAGCAACTCCCCTGCTATAGATGGCAGACAATTATTAGGCTCTGCAAAAACTGCTGGTCAATAAGCCGTGCAAAAATATTTTCACGAGACTAAGCGGTGGCAGCGAGCGCTGGCGACTTCAACTCGTCAGGAGCGGTGGAGCTGAAGGAAGCATTGGTGTTATTGGACATGAAGTCTTACATTCAAGGAATGTAGTATACATCACTCAGATCTAAATGATTATTAGAATAACATTTTTAAATTTTTGTTATTTAACGGAATTTTTTAGAGTGATTTTGAGAAAGGATGGCTCAATTAATTCATTTTTGAGTGTGGCGCTGAAGCAATCCGGATAATTTTTTTACTCCATATACCAATGAATAGATATAAAAGTAAAAGAATTGCTGCATATAGGAGCACTTAATAAATCTGCCCAATAAGTCAGTGCCACATTTAAAATGTAGGTGGATTATTGAATTAAATTATTTCAATATTAATTATAAGCGGATTGGTCTCTTCACCCTATCGCGGTGCAAAATGGCTTAGACATTTTAGGTTCTATCTACGTCTGTAACTGTTAATGGAAGAAACTACGCGCGTTACTGTCGCTTTATTGCGCATAATATCAGGCTCTCCACAGACCATTTAAGCCGATTGGCGTTGGCACGCCGACACGCGCTGGTAGACCAAATGATGCGTGCCGAGCTGTAGCTCACGGACGACACTTGCACGAACTGCCTGCTTCTTGCTGCACTTCCAACCGGAACGCTTGGCACCGACTGATCTATGCTACTGCTGCCATCATTACGACTGTTCGGTGTACGCATACCACCCAGAATATCATTGCTTTTTAATGATATTTAAGGCTTTTGAGAATCTTAGGCCGGGTGGTGAGGTTCTATTTGATTCTAGGCCAATTTATCGTTTGGGTCATAATTATTCAGCAATCATTACTGCTATTTTATAAGTGTCCGCTACCCTTGTTCAGTTCAATCGTATTGTTCAGAGCCGTAAAGTTTTTTATTCGCCTCTAAGATCAATGACGATAGATATTCAATAATTCAATTGCAATCTTCCATTATTCTTTCGAAGAGAGAGATTTATCTAAAAATGTCTGCTAAAAGCACGGACTACAGCAATCTAATGGTGGCTTGTTCGACTTGCACTCGGTGTGACTGCATGTGGTGACCGATTGATTTTCAGTCTGATTTTGATAGATGGCATTGATGGATGCGTGTGAACGTGGCTGAGCTGACCTGACCTCGCCTTGTGCTGATTATAAGAGCCCGGCGAGAGTTGAGACTCGTGATGATCAATGAGTCATGCATAATTATCAATTAGTTCTGTTTGCCGTTAGACTAGTAAAATCCATAGCCAGTGGCGCAAATCGGAGTTATCGGCAAAATATGCGTGGATTTTTTTATTTCATTTGTTATGAATTTGAGTCTATGCCTAATCCATCTCGACAAAGTGCCGTGCAGAATAATCTGTCATTATTAAGTAAGCGAACCCTTCTTTTAGCGGACGCCGCAGACTCGACTTAATCAGTGTCACAAATGGTGCCTGATCGATCGTCGTGACCGCTCGGGTATTGGCTTACAAATTTTGCGCGGATATTTACGATAATAAAATAAATATATTTTTTGTAATATTCCTAAGTAGCCAAATGAAGATTATACTAAGCTTTAAAAAAGTCATGGAATTAAGATTGTTATCGGTGAACATTTGACCTTTATTTTTGATCGATACATGATTTTTGAGATCCTATTTAACAGCCTTTCTGTTTTTGTTTTTAAAACTCTGGAAAATTTACAAGTTTTAAATAGTTATGTAAAATTTATTTCAAAGATGTTAGAAGTTTGATAATGTTAGGTTGAGTAATTTCTAATAATTTCTGTTGGATTCGAAAAAATTGCCTATAAATTGCCCTTTATAAAGAAGCTTCGATAATTAAATCAACAAATTCCACTTTGTTTTCCTCATCAGATTCGTTTGTACTAACACAATTTTCCCTGCTCGCAGTTTTTATGCGGTGACATTTTTATTCGGAAGACGTTGCAACGTCGCTGCTGCGGCGCGTATTATTTTAGCGCAGCTCGCTCTATTTCAGGCGCTAATCTGCTTATCGATCGAGCTTCGCTAATCGAATTAGACGCCTTGTCATTTGCCGCGACGCCCGCGGGAACGCAGCGTCGCGATAGTCTGGCCCGCTGCTCCACGGCGTTTGCAGTCAACGATATTAATTCGTTAATTAGAGGCTGGTCGTTTGAAGCGATTATTATTATTTGCTTTGAGGATGTCACTTGTGGTGTCGAGGTGTGTCTATTAGCCTCGCATCTCGTCCACAATCAGCATTTCTCTTGAAGCTTTTTCGTCTCATGAAGCAATTATAATTTACAGTGTGAGATTAGAGAATTATTTAGATGATTTTTGGCTTTGCGCCTAATTTAAAAGCTTTTTTGGTCGCTCCTTTTAATTTTCAAGTTGATAATTTGATTAAACTGTGGCGTAATTTGAAATTTATGATAAAGTACTAAAAACGGTTATTCATTTCGAATTTTTATAACTAAAATGAATGAGGTACAATCTCCAATAGTCGAATTTCCTATCGTATACTTCTATTTATCATCATCATCTACGAAGTTAAAGGGTTTGCGAATAAATGTTTAAACATTTCTGTTAGCACTATCAACTCAAATTAATGGTGAATAAGATTCGTAAATATTTATCATATGATCAAGTCGTTGCCATCTGGCAGCTCGCTATAACCACTCTCATCTGGTAAATCAAATGCCGTTTATTGTTGCTGCGCCAAGCTTGGTATTTTCTTATAGAAGCGGCGGGACGCTATAGGTATACTTGAGCTGCTAGACGCGCGGCAGAAGTAAGCGATGGCGGCAGATAATGACTTCTCTGTGAGGCTCACTCACAACCCTGCACTCCTTGCGTAGCTTTACTGCAAAACTAACTTTTTTGAGCCTCTAAGCTTCATAAATTTAAAATTCATAAAATTAGTCTTGTAGCTAAACTCTTAAGATTTGTTAAATGTGTTTTTTTTGCATTTGAACCGGTAATGATCAAACAATTGGCATGCACATTGTTATCGTTCCAACAGCTGAAACGTGGTATGAAAGATGCCTCATATTTCGCAATCAGTCGAGTGCCGAAAGTATTTTGTCACCGTGTAAAAAATGTCTGCGTTTTAGTTTCATATTTTATAGCCCACATGTATCACAGATAAGTAGGTTGGGCCGGAAATGAAATAAAGATCAAATCATTGTTCAATTTCAAATGCGACTACATTATTTAAAAATACTGACGGAATAATTTTATCTGCATTTCAAGTTTAAAATCTTGATTACATAGGTGGTTTGTAATGACCTATGGTTGGCTGACGCCGACACCGTGCCAGTTTGAGACGCGCGGAGCTCCGTACGAAGAAGTTAGAGAGCTCATTCGCCATAAGTAGCACCTGCGATTATCAGCCATGGACGTTTCTTCCAATTGACAACGACGGTAATCGGCACATAAAAAAATATGCATGGGCTTTTTGCAGCTGCGGCAATAAAGACGACTTATTTGAACGCAATCTGGTGATTTGGCGTTCAAATTAGCCACTCTTGTCGTGCTTTGCGCGGCGCAACTGGCCGGCGATACTCTTTTGTCTTGACGAAGAATAAAATCCTCTGGCTTGGTGCAAGGGCTCAGTTAATAGTGGCTCTGGTTATGTTTTGAAACTCTTTCGCCTTGCATGAACACATTTAAGTTTTCATTGCTTCAACAATTACAATAATTCAACATTTTTTCCTGTTATACAATGGAGTGTTTTAAAACTGTGCCGGCAGTATGTTCAGCCCTTTCAGTGGTCGCACAATCTGAACGGTCGTACTAATGTTTTGCGAGGTTTGAATTTGAAATACGAAAGATGTTGTGACTGAGAGACTACAATTAACTCTGATTTGGATAGTTATTTAGGTGATAACTTGCATGACCTGCACGTCACTGTACTCTCATTACAGTCATGACTCCCACATTAAGGTGGTGAATTGCAATGACGCCACATTAACTGTACTTCACTGTACTCTCATCAAAGTCATGACTCTTCTCCATTATGGTGCTGAATAGCATGTCACCAAATCACCTGTACTTACCTGTACCTTCTTTACACAGTTATGACCACAATCGGTCATGATTAAAGTGCTGAATAGCATGACACCACATCACCTGTACTCCACTGTACCTTCATTACACAGTCATAACTCCCTTAGAGACAAGTTCGTTCCTCCTCGGCTAACCGTTAGCTTATTCACCAGCTTCGATTTGAGTTGCGATGCGAATCATCGCGCACATTTGAACAGTGGCTATAATACATGCTGGTCGTGAATGAATAATATCCCTCGGTCAAACATGCGCGCCCGTGCATGTTTTTATTAAGTGCTTGTGGAATACAATGGGCCTTGGTGACACACGCTGCGGCTGCTCTTATAATGTTGATGCATAAATTAGGCAGCCGGTGTCCAACGTATTGCACAGCGCTCAAAAATCTGTCAATAGGTCTTCATCGCTGCTACTGAACACACAACGATCGTATCAAGCGCGCTTAAAAACATGACAGGGTTGATGACCGTTTACTATCACAAGTCTACAAGTCTATATCATCATAGTCTAGGCTGCTATACCAAACCTTGTTATACTCCGTCATTTCGGAGTATTTTTTTTGTAATCTAGTATTGGTTAAGATTATTCTGTAGTCAAGTTTTCTTTTTCTTTTTTCCGCTTTCTTCATTTTTTTAGTGCATCCGGTTATGATGCGTGTAAGGCGCTGCGTGCATCCGGTTATGATGCGTGCAAGGCGCTGCGTGCATCCGGTTGTGATGCGTGCAAGGCGCTGCGTGC